CCCCCCGGCCCGGAGAAGGCCCTGCCAAAAAGGTCGATGACGGTCGCATGCACGTACTGGACATTGGCAGAGAGTGCGCCGAGAAGAGGACGAAGGTCTGTTCGGCCTCCGACGGGCTCAGCTGCTTGGTCAGCGAGTGGATGACATTGTCGGCGAAGGCCTCCACCAGCCCCGGGGCCAGGGGCCAGCGGTCGATGGCGGTGTAGCGCGGCCCGGCCGAGATGTCGGCCCCGCCAGCGGCGCGAGCGCGCACCTGGCGCGCCAGCTCATTGAAGGAGGACCCCGACGTCGAGCAGGAATACTGCGGGTACTGGGAAAAGCACACCACCCGCTCGACCCCCGGGCCGTAGGCCTCCACCCGATTCAGGGCCTCCTCCGTAAGCGGAGGGGCATATCGGAAGCACACCTCCGCCGCGTGGGGGGCCGTCTCCGGGGACAGGCGATCCAGATGCTTGACCATGGCGGCGGCCTGGGCCTCGGTCCAGGTCCGGATGGGGCTCCCGCCGCCGATTTCGTCATAGTGGCTCGCCACCTTGGGGGTCCGGCGCTTGGCAATCACCGGAGCCAGGAACTTCTGCGCCGGCAGCGGGATCAGGTCATTGTCGCTGAAGAGGTTGTGCAGGAAGGGCTGCACCTCGGCCGAGCTGGCCGGGCCGCCCATGTTCATCATGAGGATGACGGTCCTGCGGGCGAGCGCGGGTCAGGAGCCAGCCAGGGAGATAGGAAGAGAGGGGGAGAGGGACAAAGGGTGGGAAGGGGAGGGGAGCAAAGGCGTACTTCGGGTTGGCAGGCTGACTGCTCGTCAGGTCGATGCCCAGTGACTGGGCCGTGGCGAGAGCCGCCCGGGCAACGGTGTTGCTGGCCGGGATAGAGCCGACCGTGGGCTGTGGGCCGGCCGGCGGCGAGGCAGCGCTGGACAGCCCCCGACCAAGGGGGGCGCCCATGAGCCGGGGAACGCCGCGGCTGGCAGCCAGAGACACAGAGCGCATCATGATGTTGACTCGGGGCAGAGGGGGGGGGGGGGGGGGGGGGGGGGGAGCACGCCGAAGATGTGAGAAGGGATGTTGAAGAGGGGTCTCTGGCAGACGCCGGCCTCCGGAGGGGCATGGGAGCAGGGCCACCCAAAAGTGTGCTCTTCCCTTCCTCGCCTCCTGTGCCTGGTTTCGGGCGTCACGGTCCCCGGCCTGTAGAACGTGCAGACCCCGCCTCCCGCCCCTGCTGCTTCGGTCTGGGCCGCCGGCCAGCGGATCCCGCGGAGCGGAAACATGTGCGAGCTGCAGCCAAAGAGGGGGGGGGGGCGGCAGTGACCTGCCTGCCTGGTCCGGCAGCTCTCTCTTCCAAGATCTTTCTGGGCCAAGCTGACCGTGCGCGCCCATGGCAGAGGCCGCCCCTCGTCCCCGGCCCCGCGCCCACCCAAGGGGGGGGGGAGGACGAGAGTAAGTGCGAGGGAGCGGCGCAGTCAGTTGGCAGCACCAGCCTTCCGATCGTTCGAGACGCGGCACCCCCGGCCCCTGCCGGGGGGGGGGGGGGCGGGGGGCGCTCCTGCTGTAACACCATTTGGCCTGTGGTGCGTGTGCCTGTGTCTGGCTGTAAGGGCCTCTGCCGGCGTTGGCACTCATATCCGTGCTTTCGTCCCCCGCACGGGCGTCCGCGTACCTGGACAGGTGCCTGGTATTACCAATCATCAGAGCCGCGCCATCTGCCCATCATCGTGCGGCGTGCCCCAGGGCGTGGCTAGTCCCCCCCTCCCCCCCTGCCCTTCTGCGCGTGGCATCTGCGTGGCGGTGGAGATCTCGCCGCCGCAGGGCGATCGGCCGGCGCCGCGGTGCAGGCTTTTTTTTTTCCCTATTCCCCCACCCTACCCCAGTGTCTGCCATCCGGCCCACACCCGTCCCCTGCCCCCCTTCTCCCTCTCTCTCTCTCTGTCTCTCCCCTCTCCCTGCCACTGTCACCGCCTCCACCACGGGCCTCCCTTCTGCCGTCTTCCCTCCTTTCTCCCTCCCTTTCCCCGTAGGACATGTCTGAGCCGCAGATCCCTTCCAGTGATCCGTGGGACGATCTTGATGGCACGCTCGACGACATCTCCGAGCTGGACATCCAGTCGGCCCTGTCGCACCAGCGCCTGCGCAAAACCTTTGTCAATGTGCGAGCCACGACGCCCCTGTGCCTTGTCCCCCCCCCCCCCCCCCCCCCCCCCCTTGAACTGCATGACAAGGTCGCCGCTGACATTTTCACGTTTGCGTCTCGCGCGGACACACGCGGACAAACACGCACATATGCACGCTTGGCATTCGACCTAGGCCGGCTACCGCCAAGGGCTGGACACCGGCAAGGCCGAGACCGCACAGGCCGGCTTCGATGCCGGCTTTGTCACCGGCGCGGAGCTTGGCTTCGATGCCGGCCTCTCCCTGGCTTCGGTCGTGTACGCCGCCAGTTCCTTGTCTCTCGATGCCACTTCACAGCCTGGACTTACGCGATTGCACGTAAAACACGCACACACGCACACACGCACGCACACACGCACACGCACACGCACACGCACACGCACCTCCCCAACCCAGCTTTGCCATTTCCGAGGGCAATGACCCGGCGCGGGGATCGCCCTTGACCACTCGCGGCCCCGCGGCACCGGGGACCCGCGATGACAAGGCCATCCTGCGCGCGCTCATTTTCGACCTGCAGCGCGTGGCCGTCGGCAACACGGTCACCGCCCGGCCAGCCCCCGGGGAGGACCCTCTCAGAGCCCGGATCGCAGCCACGGTCCAGTCCATCGAGGATGCCGCGCGGCGCTGGCGCGAGGAGGCCGCCACCACGGGCTGGCAGCCGCCGTCGGCCCCGCACGATCACGATCACCGGGAAGACCGGTCCTGCTGCGAGGGGAACCATGGCAGTGCCGGCGACCCGAGCTCGCCCTTCTTCTTCTATCACCATCGGCGACAGATCCATCCCCAAGAGCATGAGGCGGACCTCCTTCGGGCACGACTCCTTGACCGGCCGCTGCTGCCCCTGGCCGCGGCTCTGGCTGCAATTGAGCCCTACTTGCTGGAAGCCAACCAGGTCCCGGCACCCGGCGGGGAGGGGCTCTTCGCCGGGCCCGACATGGACCGCAGTGACACCTACTACGAGCAGAGTGAAGCCGGGGACCGCCTGCCGGGGTCTTCCCGGTCGGAGCCTTGTGGCAGCAGTCTGGAGCAGGAGCACCAGGAGCGCGAGCAGCTCCAGGCGGCCCTGGACCAGGCCCGCCGCGACCCCGGGAGCCTGCTCAACCGCATCCGTCGGGTTTTGTGCCCGGGCGACGCGGTGCTCGAGGCCCCCGGGGCGCCCGAGGGCGGCCCCGCTGCCGGCCCCGCCGCCGCCGTTGCTCCCACAGCCACGGCCAGCACCTCCACCGGTGTGTCGTCGCCCACCACCACGCCCGGAGGTGGCCGGTCCACTCTGACCCTTGAGGCCGATGCCGGCGGTGGCAGCACCGGCGGGTGTTGTGGTGGCGGCGGAGCCCGGCTGGCGGCCAGCCGGGTGGCCTCCGGCCCGGATGTCGGGAGCAGCAACAGCAGCAGCAGCAACAGCAGCGGGTGCTGCGGCGGGGACTCGCAGTGCGGTGGTGCCGGCGGACAGGCGGCGGCGGCGGCGGCGGCGGACTCGCACCGGCCGCCGCCCTCGGGAGCTCCCGCGGTCGGGCGCCGTACCCCTGCGCCCATGATCACCCCGGACCTGAATGACTGGTGATGCCCCTTGCCCTGCATAGCACATGGTTCTCACGGGTGTCCGGTCCTTCGTCGAGCGAGTGAAGCTTTGACGGAGGCCATGCCGGAGGTCTGCCACTGGTTGGGGACCACTCCCGGCATGAAAGGCGGACGTGTCGAACCAGGGGAATACCGTCGCTTGAAAGGGGGCGCACAGTAACTCGGCCGCGGGCGAGTGGGTGGACAAGCAAAATAGAAAGCGCTTTGGGAGCAGGTTGGTGTCCACGGGGGAACAAGTGTTGGCAGGCCGGACTGCGGCCTCGGGGATATTTCCGCATACTCTTCGAGACATACACACACACACACACAGCAGCGGGAGCAGCGGCAGCAACTAAGGTCTTCGTTCTGAGGAGGTCCTCGAAAGTAGGAGCCTTCTTTGTGGCCCTGGAAGGGGCTGATCGGAGAGCTCCGCATACATGCGTATCTCTCTCTCCCTCTCTCTCTCCCTCTCTCTCTCCCTCTCTCTCTCTCCTTTCCTGGGCCTCCGCGATGGCGTTGTGCGCTCGGCGCCCGTCTTCTCCGCGTCCCTCCACAAAGGTAATGATTTTCATGAACGCCAAAATACCCCAAGAACTGGAACACGTGCACGAGCAATCAAACGGATGATCGGGTTAATCGGGCCGGGAGATACCGTATCATCTGGAAAGCATGTGAGAACATCACCGCCCGACAACCCTGGCCCCGGTCGTACTCCTCTCCTCCCGAGACAAGGGCGGGGCGCGCGGCCCGCATCGCGGCGCCCGCTGGCCAAGTGTCTATGGTGAGGGGGGGGGGTGGGGCAACGATTCAGTTTTTGGCATCTGTACACACCATCAGGAGCGCCCAGGGTCACCGCCGATGCAGAAGGCACACGCTCCAATGAGAGCATACACAAAACAACCCCAGAACCACAGAGGAGGGTTGCTCGATTGGGCGGAATCACCCCTGACTGGAGGTCCCAGCTTCCTGCCTTTGCCGGGGGGGGGGGCAGGCCCGGGGGCGAGGCGTTGGACGTGCGCGTTGGCGTCCTGGATCAGCATGGCCCGGCTGCTATTTGGAAAAGAGGCTGCTGAGGTGGCAAGGGTTCACGGCCCGGCGATCGCGCCCGCCCCTATTAAGCGGGCTTGGAGAGACGGTCCATTGACACACCGTTTGTGGCAGAGCGATCCGCCACCCCTCCCCCGTGCTGCGCCGCGCGCGTTGCTCACGCCCCCCCCCCCCCCCCCCATCCCCATGGGGAGAGCGGGGGCTGTTTCTCTCTTGCAGTCCCAGGCACCCTCCTCCGGGCGTGTTCTCCCCGGGCCAGTGCTATCTCTCCAGCCCCGGGTGTTCGGGCTGGCTGGGTGCTGCGGCCGGGCGTGGGTATCGCTGCGGCTGTGACCGTGGGGCGTCCATGGATGTCCTTGTGTATTTCTTGGCGGCATTTGCCTTGTGAGGTTGTGTTGGTGGTGTTGCCTTGTCTCACAGGCATGCTCATCCTTTCGGGGCTGTGGAGCGGGGGGCGGGAGGGGGACGGCAGGCTTCTTTGTTACATCACCCCCGGATGGGCGAAGCCCCTCCTGAAAGACGTCCGCTCGCACACTCACATCCTTCCCGGCGCGCGAGCATGTTGCCTGTCTCCGAGGTTCCTCCCTTGTTCGCAGTCCGACCAAGGTACGCTGGTCGCCGGGTTGGGCTTTCTCGTTTGTTCCGCCGGCCGGCCCGACCCCGTCACCGGCGCCGATCCCCCCCCCCCCGGGAAGCCGCCTCCGCAGCCACATCCGGGAAATGCAAAGGGGCCGCGAAGGGGCATTCCCATTCCCCGGGACC